AAGTGACACATTCAAGGAGTAGACTCAGTAAGTACCAAAGCCCCACTGAAGCAAACCCTGCTCCATAGGAGAATCTCCTGCACAGCAGCTCTTCTGCTGTAGTTGCAGCTGGTCTTCACAGCCAATTGGCCTGGAGCTCAACTCCTCCCAGAGACGCCAATAGTAATCAAAGTTCAACTACAACAAGACTGTGCACACAGCCCACACAGGGGTGCACCTAGAGTGTCCAGCTCAGGTGATTGGAAGGCTGAACCACCGGGTCCCGCAGGACACCTACTACACAGCCCACTCTACCAATTCCAGGAAACACAGCGACTCTACCTACTACATAGAAACAAACACAGAGCAGCAGCAAAAATGTGGAGACAAAGTAACAGGTCACAAATGAAAGAATAGGAGAAATCTCAAAAAAAACTAAACAAAATGAAAGCAAACAAACTACTAGATACAGAGTTCAAAACAATGGTTATAAAAATAATCAAAGGTCTTAACGAGAGCTTGTCAGAGTCAGCAGGAGCACTGCTCAGCATTGCCGCTCTGAGTTGTTCTGAGTCCATATACTCTAAATTCTTCCAGACTATACCAGGACTGGTTCCTTCTCGAACCCTGCCCACTATACTAATGGTTGGGAACTTAGTTCAAGTTCCACCTTTCTCCTCTGCTCACTGTGACGCAGGTCAATTCTCAGTGGTGGGGCGGACAGAGAAGCCATGAGAGGTTGTGGGGATACAAGAATGGGTCTTTATTGCAGAAGCCAATGGCCATATAGCCATCAAACAAGACAGTTCTCCACAGCAAAGTCCATACAACAGGCAGGCAGCCGTACTCCGGCTGGTGAATAGATACACCTTTCCTACAAACAATTATTATATGAGCAGTTGCATGCTGCCTCTAGACACCTAGCTTTACACAGCAATAGTACCTGAGCTCTCCCTTGGAGCTTCAGCCTCTGCAGCTTCTCCTGTCTTCCTTGCCCAGCACTCTGGCTGGTTAACATGGTAGGTATGTCTGAGCTGTCTGTGAGCTCATTGCCTTACATCGTAGCAGTAACAATTCTCAGCTCCCCATCTGAGCTCTCTAGCCTCTCTTGCACACATAGAAGCTACAATCTCTATGTCTGCCACCTCTGCTCCTTCATACACTCTGCTTTGCCCAGCTGCTCTCTCTAGCAGACTCCTATCAGTTACCTGTATATTATTCCAGAGACAAAGAAGGCTAGCTGCTGGGTTACATCAGTCATTTGGGTTACAGAAGGGCACAGTGTGCCGTGTGTCCTTGCACCCACTCGGTATCTTAGCCTGATTATGATTCCCAGGCTCAGAGTCCTTGGACATCCCATTTGGGCTCAGGACAGAACAGCCTTGAACATCCTGGTGTATGAATAACAAGGCCTCTGTGCTCTCATTAGTGTGGTTCCCACAGAGCTTCAAAGGCTTAGTGAGAATATCAAAGACATGAAAAAGGAACAGTCAAAAATTAAACATACACAAACTAAAATAAAGAATAAATTACAGGGATTCAACAGTAGAGGGTTCTGAGAATAAAATCAATGATTTGGAATATGAGGACGCAAAAAAACACCTAATCCGAAGAGCAAAAAGAAAAAAAATAATCCAAAACTATGAAGATAGTGTAAGAAGCCTCTGGGACAACTTCAAGCACACCGACATTTGCATAATGGAGGTGCCAGAAGGTGAAGAAAGAGAGCGAGAGACTGAAAACCTGTTTGAAGAAATAATGACAGAAAACTTCCCTTACCTGGTGAAAGAAATGGGCTTACAAGTTCAGGAAGTGTAGAGAGTCCCAAATAATAGGTACTCAAAGAGGCCCACACTATGATCATAATTAAAATGCCAAAAGTTAAAGTCAAAGAGAGAATCTTAAAGGCAGCAAGAAAAAAGCAGTTATCTACAAGGGAGATTTGACAAACTATACAGAACAGAGGGAGTGGTAAAATATGTTCAAAGTGATAAATAACAAGGACCTACAACCAAGATTACCCAGAAAAGCTATCACTTAGAATTGAAGGTCAGGTAAAGAGCTTCCACAGACAAGGAAAAGCTAAAGGTGCTCATCACCAAACCTGTATTACATGAAATACTGAAGGGCATTCTTTAAGAAGAGGAAGAAGAAAAAGAAGATAAAAAATATGAACAATAAAATGGCAATCCTATATAATAAAATCCTAATATGCAAATCAACCAAATGGCAGAACAACTGGAAGAACGACAGGCACTGACCACCAGGGAGATGATCAACACTGGGGCTGCCCCTTGGTGGTCAGTGTGCTCCCACTCAGTGGGGATCGGGCCTTAACAGCAGATGGACATCCCTGGAGGGGTCCCAGACCACGAGAGGGTGCAAGCGGATAGAAGCCTCCCCCCCACCATGCACTAATTTCGTGCACTGGACCTCTAATAAATACATATTATAAACAATTGAATCTAAAAATCAAAATAAACAAAGAAGGAATCTAATAAACAAACTGATAAATAAAATAGAACCAAAGACAAGGAAACATGGAACAGACTGAGGAATCTCAGAGGGAAGGTGGGAGGAGAAGATGGGAAGAGATTAACCAAAGAACTTATATGCATATATGCATTACCTATGGACATCGACAATATGGTAGTGAAGGCCTCAGGTGGGGCAGGAGCAAGGGGGAGGAGGATAATGGGGGGGGAGGGGGGAGGAGTATTGCCTGAGTCATATGGGAATTTTTTTCTTGTCATTTACAGAAAAGTGAAGCCCTGACAGCTTAGATTGCTTTGCCCAAGCTCATAGACTAATTCTCTCATTCACCTACCCACTGAATTAACAAACATGAAGAACCTTGCACGCCAGGCACCAAGTATCTCTCTGGAGTACAAAGAGCCCAGACTCTCTGGCGTGAGTCCAATCCGCCTTCAAGCATTAGTGTAATACTCTCAACAATAAAGATTTTAAAAAGAACAAAATATTTTTTTAAATTTAAACAATACACCCTCTAGCCTTGAGAAAATGAGTAAAAGAGAAAAGTGAGCTTTTACATATCCCACAATAACTTTCAGTGCTATTTAAATTATTTTTAAAGTAAGCAAATATTCCTTAGTAAACTTTAATTTTCCCCCCCAAAAAAATCTTGACCACAGAGCCCACCAGGCCGAGCCAGCTGCTCGTGTCCGCAGGTGGCTGCCTGCACACTGAGGCTCTCGGGTGCTTGTATTATAGTTGAAGGTGACCTGCAAGGGCGGGAGGAGAAAGTAGTTGGTGGGCTCATCCCTGACTCACCCGCTGGATGGGCACACTGAGTCTCAGGCTACCTGTGGCCTTAGGGTGCATGCCCTCAGACCCACTCTACTGGATATTGCTAAAGGGGCGGTTAGGGCAGGGGGACAGGCTGGAGGGAGTCAATGGGGGAGAAAGGGGACACCTGTAATACTTCCAAAAATAAAGAATTTTTTTTTTAATCTCAACCACACAATAAAGAGGAATTTTATTCATCTTGTAATCTCAGGACACTCTTCAATTAAAAAGATCTAGAAATTTCAAAAAGTAAAGTGAAAGCCCTTGCACAAAGTTGACTCTCAACACCTAATAACTGCTCATATTCCTCATCATAAACATGTCAGGAAAGCACTTCCAATTAACGTTAAAATTCAAACAAGTGTATGTTCAGTTACCTCATTTTACTCTTACTACTGTTTTTGATCAATTATTATTTTGGATGAGCTCATAACTGTACTATTCGCACTTGCACAACTGTTTTTGAGCAGTCACACAAATATCTCAATTGAAGTTCAAATATGCACTATGTACACTATTCATTCATTCATCCCTTCAGCAAACATTGGCAGCCCACAGACTGAGAGTCAGCACTATGCTGGATGCCAGTCATTTCTCCTAAAATCCAGGACACCACCAATCTGTATGTGAGCTATTTGGTACTGGACCCAAAGAGATAACACAGAAACTGAGGTTGTTTTATACACACACATACACACACACACACACACACTTAACATTGCCAGACATCCAATTTCACGTCTGCTTAATCTAATAATTTTTTTAAGTCTGGTTTGCATTTATGTTTACTTCTTCCATTTCATTTCTCTAGCAATTCTATCGTATTTACGAAAGTATTGCCTGAGTCATATGGGAATTTTTTTCTTGTCATTTACAGAAAAGTGAGGCCCTGACAGCTTAGATTGCTTTGCCCAAGCTCATAGACTAATTCTCTCATTCACCTACCCACTGAATTAACAAACATGAAGAACCTTGCACGCCAGGCACCAAGCATCTCTCTGGAGCTACAAAGAGCCCAGCCTCTCTGGCGTGAGTCCGATTCGCCTTCAAGTCCAGGGGTCACCCTAGACCGCTTCAGACGGCAGCGCAAAGGTCCAGCACGTAAATGCCGCGCAGAAACTACAACAGCGCGCGCTCTGTTCAAAGTGTCCAGAGAGCCAAACTGGTTTGGCTCAGTGGTAGAGCGTTGTTCTGCGGCCTGAAAGGTCCCAGGTTCGTTTCCAGTCAAGGGCATGTACATTGGTTGCGGGGTGTGCAAGAGGCAGCTGGTCAATGTTTCTCTCTCATCCATGTTTCGAGCTCTCTCTCTCTCTCTCTCTCTCTCTCCCTTCCTCTCTGTAAAAAGTCAATAAAATATATTTTTAAAAAAAAAAAAAAAAAAAGTGTCCAGAGGGCCCAGAAGCAAGCCCGCTGGGCTTCACTCCCCGCCTCAGGGCCCGCCCAGGACCTCAGCCGGGCCCCGCCCCCAGGCCCGGCCTAGCCCATCAGCCCCGCCCCCTCCCGGGCTCCGCCCCCAGGCCCGGCCTAGCCCATCAGCCCCGCCCCCATCCCGGGCTCCGCGCTCCACTCCCCGCGCCGGGCCCCGCCCCCAGGCCCCGCCCCCATTCCGGGCTCCGCGCTCCACTCCCCGCGCCAGGCCCGGCCCTCACCCCAGGTCCGCCCCGACCCGGCCTAGGCCCCGCCTCCACGTCACTGGCGCAGCTCCCTTGACTCACCCGCGACGGCCCGAGCTCCGCCTTCCGCTGCAGCTCTGAGTGCCGCTCCAGGGCGCTCGCGAAGCCGCTTGGGCGCGCTGTGTCCTCCGTGGACTCGGAACTCTGGCTCCCGGAGCCGCTCTCAGTGCCCGAGCCTCCATAGGACCGGGAGGAGAAGAGCAGGCGCAGGAAACGGCTCTCGGCAGTCACGGCACGGGGCCGACACAGCGCGGCCATGACGGCTCCAGACCGAACCTCTGACCTTCGACCTCTCCGCCGCGCGCAGGTCACGGGCGGGGCTTCCGTCGTCCCGCCCACCGAGCGCTCCGCACTAAGTGCGCGCGGGTTGGCGGCGAGCCTGGCAGCCTGGCTGCGCCAAGTCCGTGGCGGGAGGCCCGGTGCTGGCCGCGGCCGCTTCGCTCAGCGGGGAAAGCGTTCGTCGCCCTCCCGGAACCCCGGGGGCCTGTCCTGCTGCAAATGCTGTCCCGCCGCCTGCGCGTGTGCCCGGGGGGCCGCAAGGCTCGTCCCCCGCTCTTCAGGTCTTCGTTGGAACCCCAATACGCACTGTGGGCCCCGGGTAGTCGCTGTTCCACTCGGCACCTCTTAATGCCCCATAGAGTTGACTTACAGCAATTCTGTTCTTCGTCTGCGCCCCCTTTTCGCAGTTGGACGGCCGAGGCCAGCCTCAGACCTTAGTGAAATCCTGCGCCCAGTTGGGCCTCTACCTGATCCCGTTAGTTTAAAAAACACGAATCGCCGAAACCGGTTTGGCTCAATGGATAGAGTGTCAGCGGCCTGCGGACTGGTCCCGGGTTCGATTCCGGTCAAGGGCATGTACCTGGGTTGCGGGCACATCCCCAGTGCGTGGTGTGCAGGAGGCAGCTGATCGATGTTTCTAACTCTATCCCTTTCTTCCTCTCTGTGAAAAATCAATAAAATATATTTTAAAAAATTGAATCTTCCCAGACCCCACCTCACCCTCGCTTGTGATTTTTCTCCGTGTTTCTTCCCCAATGTTAATCCACAGGTTTTGCCCACACTCTTCAAAACTGAGCCCAATACCATATTGAATAAATGTTGACAAATTAAGCTTCCCAACCTTCTACCCAACAATCTTATATTAATTAGTTATGTAATTATTTATATGTGATTAGTTATTTTGAGATGAGACGGCAAGCGCCCTTCCCAATTTATTTGCAGGCACTTTGGCAGGAGAGTTTTTTGTGTAAGACAGCCTCTATTTTAATAACGCCTTTATGTTCTCGTCAATTGCATGGTCAGACAAAATACAAAACACCAGAAGTAAGCTAACCTTGGAATGGTGCGTAACTGTATGAATCGCATATTACAGACTTACTGTTAGGCAACTGTAAGGTAATCCTTACAAACTCAGTGAAGGGGCTTAAGTTCCACTCCAGGTGAGTTCTTCCTTCAGGGCCCTTAAACCATGCATTTCCCTTGCCATTACATGAATTTTGCATTATTCTGTATGGCTGTTGCTATTTCCTTCTAATTCAGGGAGATGTGTGGTAACTTATAATGAACATTGGACTGTGATCTTAAGAACCCATAATTCGCCCTAGCCAGTTTTGCTCAGTGGATAGAGCATCAGCCTGCGGACTGAGAGGTCTCGGGTTCAATTCCCGTCAAGGGCACATGCTCAGATTTCAGGCTCCATCCCCAGTAGGGAACTTGTAAGAGGCAGCCAGCAGTCAATCATTAATGTTTCTCTCTCCCTCTCCCTTTCTCTCTGAAATCAATAAATAAAAAAATAAAAAATGAACCCAGTTTAATGTTAATTTGATTCCCTCGCTGTTAAACCAAATTAGACTCTGTGTTAAACTTAAGGAAATGTGTGTAAACCTCCTACATCACTATCTACAGGACAAATGGCATCATCCCAGCTCTTATAACAGATGTACTGTGTTCCTGTCCTGCCTCAGCCAGATGATAAATTATTTAAGGATTCTAACAGGTATTTTGGGATAAATCTTCAAGTTTTTAATATGTGGGTGAGTTTGTATCAGCTGGTTTCAAGTTATGCTAAGTTCTCTGCCTTTGGTACAGCAACAGAGCATCAAATGAGACAACTGGGCTTATCAGCAAGGTGGTATCTGCACACGGTCCTTGTCTGTTCAGGCACCAACCATAACATCAGCTCTGATGCAGTGTCTTCATGGCCCAGAGATTCTGGTCCTGCTCTTTCCCTTGAACTACACCTTCTTTGTCATATAGGCCTTCCCCCCCCTATCGTTTGCAAGTAGTTGCTATGTTTTGTAAAAACATTAGAAATGGCCGATGACAAGGAAAGTGAATAGAAAATAGTTTAAGTCCTGGCTCCACATCCCCTGACTGTGATCTCATCTATGGAAAGGTGATGAAGCCACATCCTTGAGTAAAATATTAAAGGAAATGAACATACAATGCCCAACACTTACTGGAAATTCAATTGACTACCAGTGGCGATATGGAGGTGATTAGAATGCATGCCTCTTAAGCTTGCATGAAAACCTGGATAAAAGAACAGGGCTAGCCATACCATGTGGAGATATTAATATCTCAAGAGTCTTTTCAGCCATACAGATGAATAAGATCATTAGGGAGTTCATGTAGATCAGAGGGGATAGGCATAACATTTAAGGAGTTGGAAGAAGGAATACTGGGAAATTGGCAAAGTGAAAAATAAGAACAGATTAAAGCCTAAAACCAAGGGAGGGGGGACTTTAAAGCATGTTCAAATGGAGTGTTAAAATATTACCCACTAAAAAACATTCAAACAAAATTGGTTTTTGCTGTATTCTAGGAAAACCACATTAAAATAACCACTACCAGCCAGCTTCATTAAGTAACATCAAAATTACATGAGAGTTGGCAAGAATTTTAGTTGCCTTACAGCATTTCTCTAAAGATGAAATCCTGGCAGGTGACAAGCATATGCAGACCCCACTCTTGGGTGGTTTACCATTTCTGTGAGTTATTTACCTTAGTTTGGTTCATCTAGATTTCAGAATGAGGACAGTATGAAAATTGTGAAACCTAAGGTTGCAGGTTTACTTAAAAGTGATACTGCTTGCCCTAGTTGGTTTGGCTCAGTGGACAAAGTGTCAGCCTGTGGATTGAAAGGTCCTGGATTCAATTCTGGTCAAGGGCACTATCCCCAGTAGGGGGCATGCAGGAGACAGCTGATCAATGATTATCATCACTGATGTTTCTCTCTGAAATCAATAAAAAAATATTTTTTAAAAATGATACTGCTTTATATTCAATGTAACCTAACATAGTGCCTATAATTAATCAAAATCACAATGGGACAATCACTAGTTAGTGGCCAAATGTCTCCTCAGGGCAAAATTATTTTTCATCTGGGTTTTCATAGCCAAAAAGAAATGTGGACAATATGATCCAATTTTTAAAGAATTCTAGAAAACACAAACTAGTGACACAAAGCAGTATTGGCTGGAGATGGGCTAAGAAGAGGGGCCTGAGGAAGAGGTAACAAAAGGGCACTATTAGGAAACTGGTGAGGGGGACAATGGGTACTGTTCATTGTTCAGATTGCGGTGCTATTAGGTGAATGTATACACGTTGAAACATTAAACTGTACATTTAAATTTGAGCCATTTTAGTATGTCACCTTTATCTCAATAAATGATTTTGAAAGAGAAATAGTTGGGGTCCTGTCAGGACCTTCCCCAGCACCTCCTCTGGCACACACAGCACGCCCACCCACGAAGGCTCTGGGTGGGCAGCACGCAGCCTCCAGCTGGACTCACTGGGTCAGTTTTGTTTGCTGCTGGTGCTTCTCCATGTCCAGGATGTGGAGGGACTGGAGAGCAGCTGTCCCACCTTTCAGTTGATATATACAAAAAGACCCAAACCCAAAGTATAGACTTTTTATTGTTTTCAAATGCTATACAAAAGAAAAATAGTGTGCATTTCTTGATTAACAGATCCAGAAATAGTGAACCCAAATTAAACATGCTTTTTCCTTTACTTCAGTAGTTTGCGTTACCGAGATGATAATCCAGTGAGTTCTCTCTTCCAGTGATTACTTTGGCCTCATTAGCATAGAATTCTTGGTTTATTCCCACAAACTTCATAAACCAAGGACAGTTCCTTTGTAAGCAGCGGACACTCAGAGGTGATTTTCTTCTCAGAAGCTTCTTGAATCCTTGAATATCTGAGAGTTTGCTCTCAAGTTGCTGTTTCCTTAGTGTCAAACACAACACACAACAGAGGGAGCTGTGCATTCGTAACATGGAATCCTCACAAAGACCACTTTTATTTGAATAATATTTCCAAATCCATCTCTATTTTTCTAAATTCACTCTCCCCCTACTTTTGACTACTTCTTTAAAGAGGCCACTTACTATGCAGTAAATTAAATCATTTTTAGATTAAGTATAGTGATTCTCTGATTTCTCCTTTCATAGCCATCGCCTACACCCCTAACACCCAGCCCATTTCTACCCCCATTTCTATCCCTTCTCTGTAGAAGCTAAAGAGACCGGAGGATATTTCACTAAAAAAAATTGCCTTTATACTCCTTTTTGCCTTGTTGAAAAGATAGTAACAGCGGGATGCTCAAGAAACAATATAATGAAAAGATATTGTGATAAAAAAAATTAAAGTTGACATAGTTGGTAGAAAAATATAACTTAACAGTTATGCCAAGTAGCCACAATATTTCTATTTAAAAAAGAAACATATTTCTACAGATCTCCTCCTCTGGGACAATGCTGCAATGGCCTTCGCCTTAAATTCTCTATAAGGAAATAATTTATAATATGTTAGCCTGATCCCATTAAGCAATGATTTAAAACAGAGACACCCATTGATGACTTATACAACAAGCTGTCTGCAGACCATTGGTCTGACAGTAATATTGAGACCTACACTATTGGCACACAGGATTTATTAAGCTTTTACAATAATAGTAGCATCCTAAGTGCTAACAAGCTCTGATAATCAAGACGGGCAGTATGTTACTTTAGAACAGTCAACACTTGTGCATTTTCAAATATGGTTTCCTAAGATAATTTCTGTCAAAGTAAATCTAGCCATGCTGTTTACAAACGCTGTAGGTTACTCCAAGCTTGGCAATTAGCATCGGGCATAAACAATAATAAAACTATCACAACTTGATAAATAACAAATACAACATTGTAAGCCATAACCATACACAGCAGAAGGAAAGGGTAGTGGTGACAAACTGGTAGCTGTTACAATTAACAGAGCACATGCCTCCATGCAGTTCCTTCCATTCGGTGCACTCAGTCCTGACCCGCAGTGTCTGAAGCAGGGCACACATCTGCAGAATCATGTAATAATTTCTAACACACTGAAAACATGTCCGTAGAAAATGGTGAGTTCATTTTTATTAATGCATTAAATCCTGTGGAGTTACCATCAACCCCTTAGTATAAAATCTGTTCAAATTATATTAGGTAACTGTGTGCTTTTTATTTTTAAGTGGTGGGAAATGAATTAAATGAAGACAGGAATGTTTCCCTCATGTGACTGATTTTAGCATTTTTACCTCTAACTAGGTCTGAAAAACTTCTGGCTTTTGAATTGTTAATTGATGAGAGTGTTCCTGTATCAACCTACTGATAATACAATATGCTTGGTTCAGAATGCTGTCCTGCATACCGTGAAACACAACGTTAATCCAGTGAGAAACAGGGTGATGTAAGTGGCCTAAGAACCAGTGCACTGAAATGACTACTGTCACAAATGGTGACAAGGATGTGGGGGTCCCACTCTCTAGTCACTAAGGAGTTAGAATTACTGGACATATTGTCACTTATAAAACTACTAGAGGCCCGGTGCATGAATTCATGCATGGGTGGGGACCCTAGGTCTGGCCAGCGATCATGGTCTCCATGATCAAGGCCGTCTTGCCCAGTCCCAATTGGGGCTGGCCAATTGGGGCTTGCTGGCAGGAGGGAGAGACAAGAGGAGGGACCTTGGGAGGTTGGCCAGCCACATGGAAGGACCACCGGAGGTTGGCCGGCTGTGGGAGCACACTGACCACCAGAGGGCAGCCCCTGGTGGTCAGTGCGTGTCATATGACTGGTTGACCGGTAGTTCTGGTTGTTTGGTTGTAACTGTTGCTTGGGCTTTTCTATAATAGATAACTAGTGGGATGTGAGCTGATGTACTAGTCTTCTGTCTTCAGACACCCAAGATATAAGATAACCTCACACCCAAACAATGTCTACTCCACAATGTCTGCAGCTGGTAGTTCTCCCCTTGGAGGTGAAGGAAATTATGCCAAGACTTTTAATAACCAGAATTCAGAAAACTTAAAGGAATAATTTTAGTCAGAAATCAAGGAGGAGGAAAAGAAAATCATTTAGAAGACAAAGACCAAACTGGCACCCAGATCAGAGCGATTTGGGAAAGCAGGAAAGCCATGCTGACAGCCTGCCTCTCCTCCCAGCATCCTAGTGAGGCCCCGGGTACCACCGTGTTTGTGTAACGGTCTTCCTACGTCACGGGCCTGAAGGCACAGCGAAGGGGGTTTCCCAGGGGCAGAGGTGAAGATATTTTTATTTTGTTTAACCCACAGACTACTTAGTCAAAGGAATACACAAGGCTAACGAAAGCACGTGGGGTGGGATTCACGGCGACGAACGCTGACAGGATGTGCTTGGGTCTCGCTGGCAGCATCTGGCAGTGGTGGGACGGGCAGCACCTCACGGGCCCGCCTGTGTCTGCTCCGGATGAGGCTCTGTGGCCGTGGCACTGGCAGTCGAGTTCAAGACATCTCCAAAATCGCCTCCGGCAGGCTTGGGCCCCCCTACTTTAGACTTTTTAAGAAGTTCAAAAAGGAAGAGGTATCATGAAACACAAACATAGCTGACTGAGAAATTACACATTTCTTTTCAGCATTTAGGATGCTACCATGCTACATCATACACTCAAAACATTCAGAACACTGATTCAAACTGATCACCCTACATGTATTAATCATGTAAATAAAAAAGTTATCAAAGTTCTTTAAATATTTTAAAAATAGTAATCTACTCACACCAAAGAGTTCAGGCAGCAAGCAAGAAAGCAAAACAAACAAAAAGATAACAAAAAAACCATGTTCACCTCTCTACTTGCCTTTAAGTTTTCAACTTTCTCTTCAAATGATTTGAAAGTCGGGGAGTTTCTATGGAGAGAAAAAATATATATATAGTAAACAAAGAAAGCGACACATTTTGAAAACATCATTAGTTGACTGTACTCCTCATAGCCATTACTCTCGGCAGAACAGCTATCTTGGGTGCCCACAGGGGTGCAGGCCACCCACAGGGGGAAACTGTCCGTTTCTATTCCAAGATTTCTACAGTGATGCCTTTGCCCAGGAGCAAAGCCAGCCTAAGACATATCAATGGAGATAAATCAAGTACATGTGCGAAGACAAAACAAATCAGGTAACACACCTGCTCTGTCACTTCCCCAACCAGCTGTCCCTGCTGGGTTGCTCAGTCTGGCTGAGGCACCATGCTCTAGAACTCGTGTTTAAGTCCACACATTGCTTGGCACGACTCCTGCGTGAATCCACATCATCAAGCAGGACAGGCCAACCGGAGGCGGTCCCGTACCAAGGATCAGCTTCATAATGGGTGGGGAAGGAGCCCAGAAACCTGGCTCGGCCTCTTCACAAAGCTGCCCCGGGCAGAAGTTCTGTGCCCACAGAAAGCCCCTCCCACGCCTTCATGCCCATCCACATTCCTCCAGGGCGTCGCAGTGCTTTGGTCCCTCTCATCGGATGGCTGCCATTTACTATCCACCCAACTCGAATAACCTTCCTGCTACCAAGATGAAGGTGAGGGAGGGGACAAGGCCCTCCTCCTTCCACAGCGGCAATGGGCAGCCAGTCCAAAGTGTGGTCCCAGACCAGCTGCATCAGTAGCTCTAGGCAACCTGCTCACAATGCGGATTCTCAGGTTCCACCCTAGGCAGACAGTCAGAAACTCTAGGGGGTGGCAAGCAGAGGCCTTCACAAGCCCTCCAGGTGGTTCTGTGCCCACTGACAGTTAAGCCAAACAGGCTGCTGGAGACCCTCCACGTGCCTCTCTACCCTAACATGTAGGATCTGCAAGGGCATCCCGATGAAGGAGGACAGAATTAGGTCACGGGCGGCTCCCAATGTCCCCGTGGGATGAGGGACTTGGAATCAGAGGGTGGAGAAAGGAGAGTGTGACTAAGCTACGGTGGACAGAGGTCTGGCACCAGCATTCGTGAGAAGAAAGGGTTTGATAAGCCGTGGTCATATTTTCAATGAAACAGATTTCAAATATAAAACAATAGATTTACAAAATAAAACAAATACCGTGTTTCCCCGAAAATAAGACATCCTCCGAAAATAAGACCTAGCACGTGGAAAGATAAGACATCCCCTGAAAATAAGACCTAGTGCAACTTTGGGAGAAAAAAATTAATAAAAGACACTGTCTTAGTGTGTGTGTGTGTGTGTTTGTGTGTGTGAGTTTGTGTGTGTGTGTGTATATATATATATATATATATATATATATATATATATATTTTTTTTTTTTTTTTTTTTTTTTTTTTTTTTTTTAAAGCATGCACAGCATTTAATGGAGCTCTCACAGCCATCCTATCAGGATAGGAGGAGCAGCTGAAAACTGATCCAGAGCCTAAAGCAGCAGCTTGTTTAGGGAGAACTCTGACTTTTACTTCAGAAAGTTCCTGGTGATCAACTCAACAAAGACTAAGAAAGCAGGAGACCAACAACACTTTGTAAAAATATACTTTACCTCATAGCAGGCATGCTAATTGAATGCTGAATGGAGCGAATACTAAGGCAGCATTAAAAAGAGAAAAAGGAAGTTAGTACACCGGTGATGAGACATGATAAAATAAACAGAAGTCTGCTCTTAGAAGCATGTTCCTGTGGCACTGTAAACAATTATCTACTTTTGCCGAAACCGGTTTGGCTCAGTGGATAGAGTGTCAGCCTGCGGACTGAAAGGTTCCGGGTTCGATTCCAGTCAAGGGCATGTTCCTTGGTTGCGGGCACATCCCCAGTAGGGGATGTGCAAGAGGCAGCTGATTGATGTTTCTAACTCTCTATCCTTCTCTCTTCCTCTCTGTAAAAAATCAATAAAATATATATATATTTAAAAAAAAAAAAAAAAAAAAGAAGAAGAATTATCTACTTTCTGAGGTGGAGGGGGTCAAAGTTACTCTAATGTGTACTTCTACTCATGAGCCAGCAGTTAACAGCCAACAGTTCACTCTTGCCTGTTTACAGCACGTGGAAATTGTTTCCACCTGGATCCGCTGGGCGTCAAGCACCCAGCTCAGAAGTAAATGATTCACCAAAGGTTACGGCAGAAACCAGAACGAGACCCAGGTGGCCCAGGCAGTTTGGCTCAGTGGTTGAGCGCTGACCTATGAACAAGGAGGTCATAATTGGATTCCAGGTCAGGGCTCATGCCCAATTGCAGGAGCAATCCTCCATAGAGAGTGTGCAGGAGGCAGCTGAACAATTATTCTATATCATCATTGATGTTTCTATCTCTCTCTCCCTTCCTCTCTGAAATCAATAAAAAATAAAAATAAAACCCAGGTCTTTGCGACTCCTAATTTAAAGTTCACTACCTCCCCTCAAAAATCAGTGCGCGCACACACAGGTACACACACATACAAGCCAGGCCAGGGAGGGCTCCTTGACCATCTTTCTCCCACATATTTGTCACCAGAATAGGAAAGTTCAAAGCAAATCGCCTATTTGGTGATGTTAAGTAATTTATGTATGCTTCCTTGGTAGTAGTCATATCAGTTTTCTAGTAAGAGACACTTGTATTTCCTATCAATTAAACGAAATGTTCTTTTTAAAAAATATATATTTTATTGATTTTTTTACAGAGAGGAAGGAAGAGAGATAGAGAGCTAGAAATGTCAATGAGAGAGAAACATCGACCAGCTGCCTCCTGCACACCTGCTACCGGGGATGTGCCCGCAACCAATGTACATGCCTTTGACCGGAATCGAACCTGGGACCCTTCAGTCCGCAGACCAACGCTCTACCGCTGAGCCAAACTGGTTTCAGCTAAATGAAATGTTCTTAATGGTCATTCAACTATTCGGCCCCTGTTTGACTAGGACCACCTTCTTACTCAAGGGCAATGCGTTCACTGTCAGCTCAGGGTCAAGGTCGCCTCCTCTCAGCTGCATCCCACAGAGGCTACCTCACGGGATGGCCTTTCCTGGGCTCACAGTCACTGAGTCCCATGGATGCTGTTACTTGGCTTAGAACAAACACTCTGACAGCATTTTTGGTAAATAATTTTCTCTGGGTAAATTGGACAATTTAAGGTATTAATTCTCTATTCTTTTTAAAATATATATTTTATTGATTTTTTACAGAGAGAAGGGAGAGGGATAGAGAATTAGAAACATTGAGAGAGAAACATCGATCAGCTCACTCCTGTACACCCCCTACTGGGGATGTGCCTGCAACCAAAGTACACGTCCTTGACCGGAATTGAACCTGGAACCCTTCAGTCTGCAGCCAAAGCTCTATCCACTGAGCCAAACCAGTCAGGGTTAATTCTCTATTCTTTTTAAAAATTGGGTGTGCGATTTAATTTTCTCAAAGACTCAGCTGTTACAAGTGACGTGTTTCCAGAGTAGCTCCCCAAACCTAGCTTTGCATTAATATGTAATAATATGAAGTATGATCTTTATATAAATCAAGATATGCTGGCAGCTGGTGTAGTCAAGATAATGAGTAAACCAACCACGTGGACATCTTCAGATTTAATGTCTTCATAACACAGGAAAGGATGCACACAGCTCAGCATTCTCTCTGTCCTAGAACAGTAGGAATCTATTCTGAGAGAAATCTGCTAATCCTTTCCCTGCTTGATGTTGGATCCATATTTGAAGGATGGAAATTAATAAAAATCAACGCAGTACAAGGACTCCAGATGTTACTGGCTTTTCCTGGGACCCTAAAAAAGCTGCCTACAGCCACACTGCCACTGGCACTTCAGCCAGCGTCACATGACCCTGGACCACAGTAACTTCCTGGTGATCTTCCAACTGTTTGGCCTGAATGGAAAAGAAGACGATTGGGAATCTCGTCCGGAGAGGCTGTGATCAGGACACTCAGCTGCTGTCGGTCAGTGGTAGATAACTGAGATCAAATGTCCAGGAAGACATTTTTGGGACCAGGTGCCAGCTGCAAGAACGCAGAGGAGCCCAAAACAAGTAATAGCTGTAGGTTTATATAAAGAAACACATGTTAAAAAAAGAGAGAGAGAGAAAGAAAAAGCTCCCTTGGAAAAAAAAAAGACGAATTAGCATTTCCTCTTAACTATACCAGAAATACTTGCCTAATGAGGCTACTAAATTATTATGTACACTATTAATAGCTCTAACATCGATGTTCAACACCAGAACCAAGGGGTGGTTTAATGTTGTTGTTTTTTTTTATTTCTCAAAACATTAAAGCAAGAGTGCTGAGCACACATATGAAGAAGGTAAGCAAATGAGAGGCTGGATGTGAACACGCCCTTGGGGAAAGCTGGCTGTCCCCAGAGGGCCTCCAGGCTAACACTCCTTCCGCCTCCCACAGGCACTGCACCTGCCTCTCAGGCGTCACAGACAGATCCCTCCTCCTCCCCTGCCTCCCCACACCCGCTAGAGGCTTAAGACAGACTCCAAATCCCAAATGCTAATGTATTGATTGACGACATAAAATAAAAACTGCTGCTGAGCCTAACAATCCCACTCAGCAGAATACCCACAGTTCCTGCAGACTGAGATGCCAGCCCTTGTCCTCTGAGTGAGCGAGGAGCCAGAACAAAGGGGACTTAACAGGATTAACCGGCCATGCCCAGGGCCCACGTCCTGAAAAGGCCTGCTGCTGGGAGTGAGACTACCCAGCTCCCTCTCCCTGCAGGTCCTCAGGGCACATGGCCTGTGTTTGCCTCTGCGACTCACTGATTTAAAAGATGTGGTTTTGCCCTAACCGTTTGGCTCAGTGGGTAAGCAGTGGCCTGCGGACCAAAGGGTCCCGGGTTCGATTCTGGTCAAGGACGCATGCCTGGGTTGCGGGCTCCATCTCCAGTAGGGGGCGTGCAGGAGGCAGCCAATCAATGATTCTTATCGTTGATATTTCTTTCTCTCTCCCTC